AACGTGCAGATCTGTCCTCGCAGAGGAGGGAGAGCTTGTACCTGAATAAAACTTGGTCTTAAAGGTGCCATTGGACTGTTTTGGACAGGGGGGGCTCTGCAGCTTACCTGGCTGCTTCTTGCTTTGACTGAGGGCTGCTGGGAGCAGGGGGTGGGGCTTGTTGCATGTGCCTGCCCCCTGGGCTCTTTACTGCCGGAGCTCCGCTCCTGTGTGCTCCTGCAGGAAATGACCCCTGCATCTAAAAGTGCTCATGTCAACCACCTAAATCACCTCCATATACTAGACCTTGACAGAAATGCCCACCATGCCAGCAGGAAAAAATTGGAGGGAATCCTCAGGAAAACACTTGATCCATCAGGCAGACTGTTCTAATTGAGCATATCACTCTGAGAATACCTTTGTGATACCTTTGGAATTATTGTGTCCAAATTAGAGCAAATTTTGTCTGCAAAATGCCTTGCAAATGGGTCAGATTTCCAAATAATCTTCCCATGGGTTTTTTTATTTATTTATTTTATAATCCACACCCTCTCCTCACAAGGGACTCGGGGCAGTTTACAACATTTAAAAATATAATAAACACGAATAAAAGCAAAAACAGTAAAACCAGTTAAAACTGACTCCAAATTGCCAAATTGCCATTACTTGAGGAATACTCACATATAAACATGGTCTCCTCACTGCCATCTTCTGCCATTTCTGAAATCTTTCAAAACAGAAGAGACACCAACACCAATTAGATTGTTAGACACTTTCTGACAAAATACTTCCCCACAGAGTTACACAGACTTCTGCATCCCTGTAAAAATACTTCAATGCCTTTCCGGAGGCTAGGTATAATTCTGACCCATCTTATGTTCAATGGGAACTGTGTTACAGACTTCTGAGTCTGACTTTGAGACTTTATCAAAGATTATTTCATGTGAAAATAAATTCATGTGACAATATTTCATGTGAAAAATATTTCATGTTGAAATAAATTCATATGAAAATATCATTTTGTGTGAAAATAAACTGAAAGATTGAACACTAGATGATTAGAACACATTCACATCTAGTAAGAGTCTCAATATTGTTTCCTGAAACAGTATACAATGTGAAGGTTACTGGCTAATTTTTATTTTATAATTTTATAGTCTGCCCTTCTCACCAAGACTGAAGGCAGATTAAATTACATAAAACTATGTAATCAAATAGGACAAGAGACGTAATAAGCAGTGTGATATAAATAGGTCTTTAAGTGCAACAAGTTTACTTCCAACTATGCTCCAGCATCCACCATAGCTTTTTTTTATTTGTATTGATGTTTAACATTCATATTCATTCATGGGGAAGTATTTTCATCAATATTACATAACATAACCAAACATCAAATACATCATTTCCCCCCTTTTATCATTCCCTCCCCCCTCCCCCTAGCAAACAGAAAGAAGAAGAAAAAGATCTTATTATTATATCTGTAACCATAAGCACACCCTATGGAGTTTTATAAATACATCATTATTGGTCCTCCCTTCTCTTACCCATCTTATATACCCAAACCATTTCTTCCTTATCTCCAACATCTTATCTTCCCATGTCTTTTCCACCATAGTAAGTGCAAAAGTTATGCTACTCTGGGCAATACCCTGATTACAGATGAGTCCTCTATATATGGAAACAGACAAACAGGAACCATGTGGTAGCTACATGAATGGGTCCAGCATTACAATACTCTTTCCTCACTTCCCTAGATTTCCAGGAAACTATGAGATGGCAACACCGGCCCTCCTATACAACTGAATGTTGCTGGCCACTATCAGTTCACAGGGCCACCATGCTGCAAATCTCTAAACTGCTGCCAAAGATGCCTGCTTATTTCTTCCACCCTGGATCCTAATCTGTTTGGATATGCTCCTCTCTCATACTATATTTCTTGATATGTATCCACATACTGTAGATATCGGGTTGGATCCACCAAGTTTTTTCACTCCTGCCTATTTCCTCTCCTATCCCATATGACTGAAACAGAACGGTTTTCAATTGACAAAGGTGTCAAACATGTATTTTATCGTCCTATCTAGGGTTGCCAGGTCCCCTCATTGTCGCGGCAGGAGAGAGGTTTGAGGGTGTTCTGGGGGTGGGCCCAACACAACACTCTGGATTTTGGGCAAAACTCTATGGGGGTTTTTGCCTTCAAACCATAGTTTGCCCAAAAACCAGATCATTGCCGCATGACATCCCCGGCGCAATGACATTACCAGGAAGTGATGTCACTGCACTGGGAACATCGCACGAAGACATCCCTGGTTTTTTTTAACTGTTTTAATTGGTTTCATAAAAGACTTTACAGAATGCAAACACATTAAGCCGTTGTTTTTGTATGTTACAGGTATGGCAATAACTTACAATAAATCATAGCATAAATATATATTACATAATATAAAGAACTTATATTTGGCAATTGAAAGGGTGCATTTCTGTGAGTTGTCTACTATTTGAAATGGATGAACTTGTGAATTGTGAATTATCTTATTTGTTCTAAGACCTTCTGTAATGGGAGTGATCTAGAAGTATAACCGTTTATGATATATTTGCTTTGATGGAAGTATATCGTTTGTTACCATATATTCAAGAACTGGAGCCCATATCCGAAAAAATTTACACTAGGTTGGTGTATGACTATTGTTCGGTCTATTCAATGAGTCTATGATTTTAGCCATTACGAATTGATCCCTGTTTGGGGTTGGAGTTTCCCCCACTGGCCAGCAGCCAGCTGGCAGAGGAACAAAGCCCCCCAAAGTGAAGGAACTCCCTCTGGGACCTGGCAATCCTAGTCCTACCTCTTCAATCTCAATGCAGAACATATTAAAGGAAAACTGGATTAGGTTTAGATGAAGACAGAGTGAAAATTGGTGGAAAGAACATTAACAATTTGAGAAATGCAGGTACCATCACATTACTGGCAGAAAATAGGGAAGACTTGAAACAACTAGTGATGGAGGTTAAAGCAGAAAGTGCCAAAGCAGAAATTATAGATGAACATCAAGAAGACATAAGGAATGACTACTAAGGAGTTACATAACTTTAAAGCTGATGATGAAGAAGTTGAAATTGCTCAAGATTTTCTATTCCTTGGCTCCATCACTAATCAAAAGGGAGTCTGCAACTAAGAAATCAGGAGACTGAAACCGGGAAGGGCAGACCTGAAGGAGCTAGAAAAGATCCTTGAGTGTAAAGATGGCAACCCTGTGTGGGATACTGCTCAGTGCTTCCAGATGCTCACAACTGGGAAGAAAATATCCTGTTAGAAATATTAATGACGCTTGAAAGCAAATAAGATGACAGGTGGTAGAGGCTGTTCCCACCCAGGAATTTAAGAAATCCTTTAAACACAAGTGTCCTTCACAGAAACTTGTTAACAGCCATCATATGAGATTCCCAAGGCAGGATAGTTTTGGCATGCTTGTGAGAACAGTACAAGGGAACAGGAATCCAAGGGTGGTCTAAGTTCAGAAATGAACTTTACTTCTAAGAACCATTTTGATCATCTACCTTGATAAACTGTTTTGTTTCACCATGAATTGGACTTGGGGCGGGGGGGGGGGGGGCGGCATCATTACACCTTCTCTTACCCATCTTATATACCCAAACCATTTCTTCCTTATCTCCAACGTCTTATCTTCCCATGTCTTTTCCAGAAAATGAAGTCTGGTAATATACGAAGGAAAGCTACTGAGAAAGGTGACAAGCGGCATTCTTAGGCCTCAAAGAGCAGATGGGATTCATTATTCCTTGGAGAACAGAGGAGCTACTTGGGATGTAGAATGGCAAATGGCCACTCACAGAGGCATAAACTGGCAACACAGCTCTACCTTGTAATGTATTCAGTAAATAGGCCCCAGTATAGAGTATGAAATTCATTCACGTATTCAGCCGTCCCCATCATGCCCACTATCCTGCAGCTATCAGTGTCTGGGATTATCAGTTTGGCACTTTTAAAAACGAGATTCATTTCAGGTTTGCGACTTACATAATAAGCTGAATAACCCTTATAGTGAAACCCTAAGCAGTGTTGTACCCCTCAACATCTGTTGAAGTTAATGGGCATGGAAGGGTGCACCTTTGCCTAGGACTGCGCTCTCAGCCTAAATAGGCCTATAAATGGGCACGCAGCATAGGACTGCCACATTTGGCTATGAACTCCAGGAGTTAAGAAGTGATTGGGCATGAAAGGAGATGCTAGAAAATGACTAGCCGGTGTAGAAAATTCCCTTTTTCCTAACTTGAGATGCAGGGCATGGATCAGAAAAAAGAAGAATGAGAGCTGTGGGATAATGTGACAGTAGGATGGAAGCCTGGAAATAATGTATTTGATGTCCACTCTTTGCTTAATCTCATTTCTCCCTTCAACATCTGTTGAAGTTAATGGGCATGGAAGGGTGCACCTTTGCCTAGGACTGCGCTCTCAGCCTAAATAGGCCTATAAATGGGCACGCAGCATAGGACTGCCACATTTGGCTATGAACTCCAGGAGTTAAGAAGTGATTGGGCATGAAAGGAGATGCTAGAAAATGACTAGCCGGTGTAGAAAATTCCCTTTTTCCTAACTTGAGATGCAGGGCATGGATCAGAAAAAAGAAGAATGAGAGCTGCGGGATAATGTGACAGTAGGATGGAAGCCTGGAAATAATGTATTTGAATATGTATTTTTGATGATGTACTCATGGACCACAAGACATGTCAAAATTCAGCTCATAACTGATGCCTTGCCCTTTCTATGTCAAACACAAGGATAGTTTTGTTCATTTGTCTATATTTTGCTCGTTAGTGATAAATCATACTCTATGCAGTTGTTGATGACACTACATATTTTCAATACCACATAGAACCTACCCTCACATGATTTTTCAAGAACACCATTTGTCTTAACACAAGCGAACTCTGACAGCAACAACTCCTGTCAAGACATTTTAAAACCCCTAATAAATGGAGTGGGGGCTTTTGTACAGTGCAAATCAGCGGTGAAGGGTGCCAGTGCTCTTTGCGTGGCCAGATTGCAAGGCAAAGGTAGTCTTCTTGCCTGAGAGCCCATAAAACATAACTTGCATACTTTTCTTTTCTTTTTTTTAATGAAGTAGCCAGAATACAGGTTTATCAACAGCTATTAGCCAGGATATCTACATAGAGCGTCCACATCCAGAGAAGCATTCCTCAGAATACCAGATAATGTAGATGTACAAGAGATGTTGTCTTCATGCCTAATTTGTTTGAGAGACATCTGGCCAGCTGTTTTTGCAGAGTGCTAGACTGAAATGGCTGATCGAATCCAACAAGGCTCTTATGCCCTTGAGGTGTAGCTAGTCTTGAAGAAAGCTATCACCCTGAAATAAGGCAAATCAGTTTGGGCAATTTTCCCCTTCTGCTACACACTCTTCTGCGGCCGATACATCCAGGCGCTGTGTTGGCATGGTTCATCTTTCTCTTCCTGGCTCAGATCTAGTCTTTCAAGATTATCAGCATGAACCCTGGGTGAACAGCAGAATGAAGGAAAGACTGAAGTTCATTCCCTCCTCTCAAGATATGCCTCTTGCCCCAGGATCTTAGCTGGGCTGAGCAGCCTGAGTCCTGGCTAAGGATGCATCAAACAGTGGAGGAGGGCTGGGTCTAGATTGCATTTCTTGAATTTGACAACATATCTTCACTTCATTAACTGTCCAA